CAGATAGTTAATGCGCTTGGCTGCTAACTGAAACGTTGGGGGTTTAAGTCCATCCAAGGGACCCTCAGAAGAAAGGCCTGGTGATCTACTTCTGAGCCATCAGCCATTGAAAACCCTATGGAGCACAGTTGTATTCTGATGCACATGGGCTCGCCATGAGTCCGTGCTGACTTGACGGCAGCTGGTGTGTGGTTTGAAAAAACTCCCCGCCTACCAGTTTACTGTCTGAGACACAGGTTGAGGACCCTGATAGCTAATGAATGTTTGTCGATAACAGTATATTTGGGAGAGGACATTGGTTGCAATGCTGAGGAGTCAAGCTCCTGGGAACCTATCTTAGAGAGAAGTCTTCCTCCTGAAACAGGTTCTTCCACTTACGGGATGAAGCATAAAAATCAACATGTCTTTTGTAGGAAACTGGAAATATTTAACGTATATAAATTTATTTGCCTTGGCAGTTATTTATTTACAATTGATGATTGATCACCAACAGCTGAGGTAAAAATATACACGAGGTATAAATATAATATTAAAATGCCATATTATATTTCCATTGGCAAGATAACAATGAATAAAATACTGTGGTATTTGACAAACAAGCTTGACGCATCTTTTTCTTCCTTTTTTTCCCTTTATTTCCTATTTTCCCCCCCTTTTTTTAAAAAAAAAAAAGATGCACTGTGTTGTTACACGGTGGTGATGCGGATTAATATGTGCATAAAAGAAGTCAGGTAATCTGAAGAGAATGGGCGTCTGCAATCCGGTGAGATTTGGTCTTAAGTATCCTCTAGGCCCTCGCTACTCAAAGTGAGGTCATGGACCAGCGGCAAGGGGGGGGGTCCCTGAGGCTCGTTAGGAATGCAGAATCTCGGACCCACCCCAGCGTCTGCATTTTAACAAGACCCTGAGTGATCCACGCACACTTCAGGGTTCTAGAAGCAGGGTTCTACGGGACACAACGCTCTTCATCCTTATGGTCGACGTCATCTTTTCCAAGCACATACAGCCCCATTTCTGGGGCAGGGCCACTGTTTTGCTAACAAAATTATCCATGTAAATTAAAGAAATTACAGCATTTATCGTTAAATTTAAAACGCAAGGGCAGAAGTGAATTTATTTTGCTCACAGCGCATCGTCCAAATGGTAAATTATGGGTTTGCTTTACCTCCTTAGGTAGGTGCGGAAATGGAAACCCCCTAGAACATAATTCCAACAGTATGATCTTCTCTGCAGGATACTGAACTCATATATAGCACTTTTATTCCTCTCAATGGAACAACTGCACATTGCTAATAAGAAAAAATTATACAAATGCATATAATAAAAAAGAATGGAAAACACTCAAGATTTTCTTTTTCGCCTCCAACATCAGTTGCTAACTCATATTAGTCTCTGTCAGTGGCTACCAAAACAATCAATCAATCAAAAATCCCACAACATCCCTCCCCCTGAAACCCAACACAATAATTGATCTCTCTCTACAGTTGTTCAATTACAGTAAAAACACCACTTATGTCCATTGGCAATTGGTTAAGGACAGTTGATTTGCCTTGTCTGTACAGTAATAAATAAGTTTGGGTCAAATGCATCGGGAGCTTGAGCTAGCTAACAAAGAAACACGGAATTAATAAACTTGTTTATTTTTTTCCCTAAAACTATTTAAAGAACATAGTTTTGGTCTTACGTTAATGAAAAACCCTGTCCCTCAGATGACAAGGCTTTAATGAATTCTATTTTAAAAGCGCCTATGTAACAAAATGTGAATTCCCTGAAGCTATAATGGTCTAGTCCTCTTGGATGACCATTATCTCCCTTTGTTTGTATCCAGAGTTAGATTCAGTGCAATCCATGGATATGAAAACGTCAGTTAACCATGACCAAACAGGCCACTGGTCAAACAGAATAACATTTAAGAACATTAAGAAACGTATCTATAAAGACTTTAGAAAACAGCAGTTGTACTGGCTGTGAATATGGAAAGACGATTATATTCAGCTCTGATCTCGGGGGAAATACTGGATCTGTGTCAGTCACTCGCTCTGACTCCAATCAGCGTCTGAAATCTCACCGAACCTGCATCTAGCCAGGCCCAGTGGCAACTCATGATCTAGCCTTAAATTTGGTCATGACTTCTCACCCACTGCTTCGCTTTGAGGGAGAGATACCTAGGTCTTCCCTTTATCCAACGCTCCACTCTCAGTTTTCGAGGGACACAGTCGACACACAGAACCTTTTAATGTTACTTCCCTTTGGTTAGTGAATCTTTGGTTAGACGTCACGGCAGAGTGACAGACGACACTGTCACACCCTGGTGTCGGCGGCAGACCCTGCTCAGCACGTATGTCAGTGAGGAGATGAGAACGCGAGCTACGTGAGGACGGGGCTCACGGAATCATGCGCTCCTTTTTAAAGAGCTCCGCTCCGTATAAAATTGGTATTTTACATATATACAGTAAAGATAGAGATATGCACACATATGTACATACGCTGTACATATATTTATTTACAGTTAAGAATATGCTTCTTGGAAGCCTTTAAATAGCAAATTAGGCAATGCACAAGGAATAATCCATTTAATTTTAAGTAGCATAGATAAATGTTCTGATTTTTTAAAAATATTATATTAGTAGGGATATAGCCGTCTCCAGGAGGCTAGAAGAGTTCTCACAAATTCTCGCATCTTCAACCTTCCGACTCCAGAACGGTCCCATTTTCAGCATGAACCACACTTGGCGGTCTCTCTCTCTCTCGCTGCCACACGCCCACGCTCTCCCACAAGTGTCTGCTTCTCCCTCCTCTTCCCTGAGCTTGACGACACACTTGGCAGAAGACTCAGATTTTAGTTTCTGGACCCTCGGCAATGAGGGGCTGAAAAGAGTTTCTGATCCTGGCCACTTCCGCTGTGCACAGGTATCCAAAGCCTTTGTTGTACCACTCTGGGGAGCGACCCCTGTGGGAAGAAAAATCAGAGAGGAAGTGGAAACGTCTTTTCCTAAATCAGAACAGTCTGTCCTGGCACACAAGGCTGTCCTTGTGCCTTGCTTTTTGGTACATTTGTGAACAGCTTGGGCATGCCTCCTCGAGGTTCTGAGAACCCCGTTCTGTCATCAGCCACCTTCAAACTGTCTTGGCTGCCAAGTATTTAATATATCTTTTCAGTACTCATCACATGCTCTAGAATGATACCAGTTCCTCAGGGTAAAAGGAGAAGGTTCACGCTGAATGTATAATTTACTGAGAAAAAGCAGTTAATATCCACCCAGATCGAGTCTTCGGTTCAGCCTAACGAATGTCTCCGAAGCACTGGGTTTAAGTGCACTTCTTCTCCAGGGAGGGCGAGTGGAGAGATCAGCAAAAGGAGACGGGCGTCAAAGAAACACGAGAAGGGAACTCAGATTTACTGAGTGGCTACTACACGCTAATTCTCGTGCTTGTTCCGTGCAAGAAGCACAGAAACGTAAGTGTAGACAAAAGTGAAAATCAACCAGTTGTGTGGAGTCGATTCTGACTCACGGTGACCCCTCGTGTGTCAGGATAGGGTTCTCAATGGCTGTGATCTTTCAGAAGTAGATCGCCAGGTCTTTCTTCCAAGGCACCTCTGAGTAGACTCAAACCACCAACCTTTCTTTTGGTTAGCAGCCAAGTGTGTCAACTGTCTGCACCACCCAGAGACTTGTAAAGTGAAAATAAAAAAAACAGCCAAGGGCTGGAGGGGAAATGTCAGGCATTTTGAAAAGGGGAGAAGAGAGATGGAAGAGCGATAAATAACCTCGTATGGGAGCCTGCCCACGGCCATAAAGGAAAAGCACAACGAGATACAACATGCGGGTGCCGTGCTTCCAGTCACACGTCTCCTACTCCATCGGGACAGTGTCAGCTCCCACAACGACCGTGTGTGTGCATGTATGTGTGCGTGTGCGCATTTGTGCACGTGTGCATGGATGAGCGCACTGTGTTTTCACATGTATGTGAGTGTGCGTGTTCACGTATGTGTGTGCATGCCCTGCACACCCCGACATTCTGAGGGAGCTTGGCCTCCCACCCATGCCAAGTCTCACTGAAAGGCAGTGCTTTCAACAGGCCAGCTGCTGCTAGGTGGTGGGGTGGGTGCTAGGACTGGTGCTCAGGGCATCGCCTGCTCTGGAAAGGGGTCCCGTGGGTCACGGGTATAGTCTGTGGAATTCCAGGTCGGCACACCGGACACTTTGTAGGCACTTGGATAACGATGGTGCTGGCCAAGGCTGTGACAGCTGTCGGGAGTCATCAACCACGGGTCAACCACCCCCCAGGAGGGCTTGTCTAAGCCTGAGGCCCACACGAGGGGCGCAGAGGAGAGATGGAGAGAGGGGCGTTTCTGACGACACTGCCTGGGACATCCAGCTAAATAAGCCAATAACCAAACCCAAAACCACACCCGATTCCAACTCATAGCAACCCTACAGGACAGAGGAGAACTGCCTCATAGGGTTTCCAAGGCTTTAATCTTTACAGGAGCAGACTGCCACATCTTTCTCCTGCAGAGCAGCTGGTGGTTCTGACTGCCGACCTTTTGGTTAGCAGCCGAGCACTTAACCACTGTGACACCAGGGCTTCTTAAATAAGCCAGTAAATTATTATTTAAGAAAAAGAGGTGAGGGGTGAAAGCCAGAGTCCTCATGAAGGTGCCAAGCGAACGAACTCACACACCCGCCCATGCCCGCGGTCTTTGCACCTGCCCATGCCCACGGGCCTCTGAGTTCACACTTACTTGAGGTCGACCCTGCAGATGTGGGTCAGTCTCGACTTCCCGGAGCCACATGGCTCTATCAGGTATTGAGAGTCCATCACGACCGCGCGCACACCGCCCATGGGCTGGGCTTCCTCGTGCTCCACCGACATGGACACCAGGGCGCACATCCCTTTGGGCAGATCCGTCCTCCAGGTCCTGTGGCAAACAACCCACCCAGCACAGTGATGATCAAGGGACAGAGAAGGCTGAGCACAGAGCCGAGGTGGAGGCTCACGATTCCTGCCAGACACCTGGGCTCAGACTCCAATCCTAGTCATCTGGGTAGTGGTAATGGTTTCCAAAGGAGCAATGGTGGTGCAGTGGTTGAGCACTCAGCTGCTAACTGAAGGGTCAGGGGTTCGAACCCACCAGTGGCTCCATGGGAGAAAGACCTGATAATCTGCGCCATAAAGATCACAGCCTAGGAAACCCTGTGGGGCAGTCCTACTCTGTCACACGGGGTCGCTGTGAGTCAGAATCGACTCGATGGCAATGGATTTGTTTTGGTTTGGTTTGGAATGGTTTCCACGGAGCCCCTGGGTGGTGCAAACAGTTAACATGCTTGACTGCTAACCGAAAGATTGGGGGTTCAGGTCCACCCAGAGGCGCCTCAGGAGAAAGGCTGAGCGATTTACTTCCGAAAAATCACTCACTGAAAACCTATGGAGCATAGTCCCACTCTGACACATGTATGGTCGCCAGGAGTCAGAATCAACTTGATGGCAACTGTCTGGTTGCTGCTGTTTAATGGTTTCTGTAAGTGTGTGTAAAGCTTAGACAGGAGGGACCAACCCCTGGAGGAGGACATCATGCTTGGTAAAGTAGAGGGTCAGCAAAAAAGGAGAAGACCCTCAACGAGATGGACTGACACAGTGGCTGCAACGACGGGCTCAAGCCTAACAAAGATCGTGAGGACGGCTCAGGACCGGGCAGTGTTTCGTTTTCTTGTACACAGGGTCGCTGTGAGTCAGAACCGACTCAACAGTACCTAACAACAACAAGAACAACCTTTATGGAAGCAGACCACCATGTCTTTCTCCCACAGAGTGGCTGGTGGATTCAAACCGCTGACCGTTAGGTTAGCAGCCGAGCCCTTAACCACTGCACCATCAGGCCTCTTTTCAAGTATCCGAGTGGCTCTTAAGTGGGAGAAAAAGTAAATTTGGTCTAATGGACTCCAGCAGCTACACTTTAGTTCAGTATAGAGAACAGCTGTCTCACTGTGTGCATTCCTACGCACAGAGTGCGCTGCCTCCGAAGGCAGTGGGTTCCCCATTCCTGGACTATCCATGCACGTGGTTGTTGTTGAGTGCCATTAAGTTGATTCCAACTCATAGCGACCCGACAGGACAGAGGAGAACTGCCCTGTAGGGTTTCCAAGGAGCTGCTGGTGGATTCCAACCAGCACCACCAGGGCTCCAAGAGAACCACGTAATTAAGAGAGAATCAACCCTTAAAAGTCAAGGTATTGCAATCCTGATCCAAATTCCAACAGCATCTTTAACGAGACGGAAAAACTCATCACCAAGTTCACATGGAAAGGAAAGGGGTCCCAGATAAGCAAAGGATTCTTGAAGAAAAAGAACAAAGCAGGAGGCCTCACACTGCCCGACCTCAGCCATGGTAGTCAAAACAGTCTGGGACTGGTACAACAACAAACACAGAGGCAAATGGAACTGAATTGAGGACCCAGACGTAAATCCATCCATCTATAGGCAGCTGATACTTGACAAGGGGCCAAAGTCCATTAAACTGGGAAAAGACAGTCTCTTTAACAAATGGTGCTGGCATAACTGGATGTCCATCCGTAAAAAACTGAAACAGGATCCATACCTCACACCACACACAAAAACTAACTCAAAATAGATCAAAGACCTAAATATAAAACCCAAAACGATAAAGATCATGGAAGAAAAAATAGGGACAATGCTAGGGGCCCTAATACATGGCATAAATACTACGCAAAGCAAAATAAACCATGCACAAACACCAAAAGAGAAACTGGATCACTGGGCGCTCCTAAAAATCAAACACCTATGCTCCACAAAAGACTTCACCAAAAGAGTAAAAAGAGAGACTGGGAAAAAGTTTTTGGCTACGACATATCCGACAGGGGTCTAATCTCTAAAACTGATAGACTACTTCAAAACTTCAGCAACAGAAAGACACATAATCCAATAAAAAAATGGGCAAAGGATATGAACTGACACTTCACCAAAGAAGACATTCAGGCAGCTAGCTTACACATGAGGAAATGCTCGTGTTCATTAGCCATTAGAGAAATGCAAATCAAAACTACAATGAGATACCATCTCATCCCGACAATACTGGCACTAATAAAAAAAAAAGAAAATAATAAATGTTGGAGAAGTTGCACGGATACTGGAACTCGTATGCACTGCTGGTGGGAATGTAAATGGTACAAACACTATGGAAAAAGATGTGACACCTCCTTAAAAAGCTAGAAATAGAAATACCATACAATCCAGTAATCCCACTGCTAGGAATATACCCTAGAGAAATAAGAGCCGTCACACGAATAGACATATGCACACCTATGTTCACTGCAGCACTATTCACAATAACAAAAGGATGGAAACAATCTACATGACCATCAACAGATGAACGGACAAACAAATTATGGTACATACATACAACGGAACACTAAGCATAAAGAACAACTATGAATCCGCAAAACATCTCACAACATGGATGAATATGGAGGGCATTTAGCTGAGTGAAATAAGTCAATCACAAAAGGACAAATACTGTATGAGACCACTATTATAAAAACTCAAGAAAAGCTTTACACACAGAAAAAACATTCTTTAATGGTTACAAGGGAGGGGACGGGGAGGGAGAAGAACTCGCTAACTAGATAGTAGATAAGCATTAACTTGGGTGAAGGGAAAGACAACACACAATGTAGGGGAGGTCAGCAAAACTTGACAAAGGCACAGTCATAGACGTTTCCTAGACACATCCAAACACCTTGAGGGGTCGAGTTGCTGGGCCTGAGGGCCGGGGACTATAGTCTCGGGGGACATCTAGGTCAACTGGCACAACACAGATCATAAAGAAAACGTTCTACATCCTACTTTGGTGAGTAATGTCTGAGGTCTTAAAAGGTTGTGAGCTGTCATCTAAGATACATCCATTGGTCGCATCCCATCTGGAGCAAAGGAGAACGAAGAAAACCAAAGACATAATGAAAATATTAGTACAAAGGACTAATGGACCACATGAACCACAGCCTCCACCAGCCTGAGCCCAGAAGAACTAAATGGTGCTTGGCTACCACCACTGACAGCTCTGACAGGGATCGCAATAGAGGGTTCTGGACAGAGGAGGAGAGAAATGTAGAACAAAATTCAAATTCACAAAAAACGACCAGACTTACTGGTTTGACAGAGACTGGAGGAACCCCCGAGACTATGGCCCTTGGACACCCTGCTAGCCCGCTTTTCTGACAAAGATTAGACGGGCCTAAAAAACACACAATAACACACGTGAGGAACGTGCTTCTTAGTTCAATCAAATACACGAGACCAAATGGGCAACTCCTGCCCAAAAGCAGGAGACGAGAGGAACGGAAGGAAAAACTGGACCTGACATGGAAAGGCGGAGGGTATTGTCACGTTGAGGGGATTGCAACCGATGTCAGAAAACAACACGTGTATACATTTTTCAATGAGAAATTAAGTTGACGTGTAAACTTTCACCTAAAGCACAATTAAAAAATAATTAAAAGAGTACATAATGATGAACCAGAGGAAAAAAAAGTCAAGGTACCATGACCAATTCCAAAGGCATAATCCTGTGTGAAAAGCAACCTTTAGTTTGCCACCAAAACTAACTTCATGGAGAAAGTATTTTAAATATCCATTTGGCAATTTCACTAGTCATTCCTTTTACACTGATAGCCTCTGAGAATTGTTTGTCATCGGTAATCAATACAAAAAAGAACTGGATGGTGCTTGGCTACCATTACTGATTGTTTTGATCAAAGAGGCTACCGAAGATTCCAGATCCAAAGGGGGAAGAATGAGGAAGAGAATTTCAAATTCTTAATGGAATCCAGACTTTCTGGAGCCATAGAGGCTGGATGAACCCCCAAAACTATTGCCCTGAGATAATCTTTAAACTTTAAACCTTGAACCAAAACTATCAGCTGAAGTCTTCTTTGAATCAACCTTTAGTTTATCTTAATAAGTAGGGTATGTCCGCCTTGAGTATTGTGCTCTTTTAAAGAACTATCTATACGGGATCAAGTTGACAATAGCAACTCAAAAGATTAGATGAGAAGCTTAGGGGGCAGTGAGTCTAAGTCAATGGTGGTGGAGCAATTTGGAGAAGCAGGGTGAGAACGTTGGCACAACTTGAAGGATGTAATCAATGTCACTGAGTTGTATGTGTACGAATTGTAGAAACGGTGTATGACTGTGTATATTTTCACCAAAAAAAAAAGATACATTGATCTAATTACACCTTATTCAGGTTCTTTGGTAGCCTCCATTGTTGTTCTTTCTGATGGAATACTGACTTACCAGCCCGTTTCTACTGTGCAAACTTCACATCAGGGGTGGGACATCCCATTCCAAACCCAGACAGCAGGGGACTGGAAGCCAACCCAGGAATCAATCAGAAGAGTATTTCAACGGCAGACATAAGACTCAGCACGCCTGTCAGATCCTGGAATCTGTGCACATTCAAGGGTCCCACCTTGCTCCGGACCTTCCAGGCTGTGACCATTTGCGTTCACACAAATGAGTTTGTGTGACACTCAAGTCTTGAGAGTTACACAAATCAAAGACATGCTTTCCTGGGTGTGGTGGGTGGAGCGAAAGGCAAAATCGGGAAAAAAAAGGCCAGTCAGGCTCAATATGCTTAATCTGGCAGCAAATGCAATGAGACAAACAGCAGCTATTCTTGGGCCTCTGTTTTGAGGAAATGAGCGGTATTGACAGCCTAATAAACTGTGTGCACCCCCAGAGCGGGACCACGAGAACCCGGCAGGCAGAGCTGTGGACGGGCGGAGAGAGGCTGGAAGTCAGGCAGAAAGGCAGCAATGTCAGGTCTCCTGGGGGGAACCACCCGGCCGTCAGGTTCCCAGGGGAGTGTGCATTTAGGGGGCAGAACAGTGAAGTGCTTCCTGCTCTCTAGAGCACAGCACCGCACAGCCCCGGCTCCGGCTTACCTGAGGACCACGAAGTCCCTGGAAGGATGCGGGGCCATGCTGTTCAGCACATACTGGTAGACCTCCGTGTGCTTGTCCAGAGCTTCCACAACCTTCCACTGCACAAAGTCCTCATCCCAGAGGTGCCGCTCTCTCAGCACTCGGTTCAGCACGACCGAGGGGGGCGCCTCCACCTCCACAGACGCCTTCCACAGCTTCAGGGGGTGCCTGTCGCCCACCTACAGACAACATCGCCCAAGAGCTGCTTAGAGGTGATCCGGTCCACAGACACCTACTGTGCCCCTCCGGGCATTCTAAAAGCCACAGTTCCGTAACTTGAAACAGTGATTCTACCTATGCACTTCAGGTTTAAAAGGAAAAGATGTTAATCCCTAAGCTTAAAGTAATAATAATGACATCAACCCCACCACCAGCACACACAGGGGTTACTATGCCTCAGGCATTGCCCTAACCCATGGGCTTTTTAAATAGCCCTTCTCTGACACTGAGGAGTCTTCGGGCAGTGCAGTCAATGCGCTCAGCTGCTAACTGAAAAGTTGGAGGTTTGAGTCCGCTCAGTTGTGCCTTGGAAGAAACGCCTGGCAATCTACATCCGAAAAATCAGACATTGGAAGTTTGAGTCCACCCAGTGGTGCCTCAGAAGAAAGGCCTGGCAAACCACTTTGGAAAAATCAGCCACTGAAAACCCCGTGGAGCAAAGTTCTACTCTGACACACATGCCATCGACCTGACAGCAACTGTTTCTCTGACAGTGGTACCATCATCACGCTCATTTTACAAAGGAGAAAACTGAGGCACAGAGAGGCATGTGAGTTGCCCAGTGTCACACAGCTAAGTGGCAGAGTCAGCACTGGGTCTGTATGTTTATTATTTGGAAGAGAGTCGCTTCACAGTCTCCAGGCTGCGTGTTTTACCCGCTCATGCACCCTCACTGTCCATGTGGGTAGCCTGCATACACAACCAAACCCAACCAGCTGCCGTCCAGTCAACTCCCACTCCTGGCGACCCCATATGTCCACAGTGGATCGGTGCTCCGTAGGGTTTTCAAGCCTGTGGCCTTTCGGAAGTACAGGTAGTCCCTGACTTACGACGTATGAATATGTATTCGAGTTATGACCAGCCCCACTTACAACTGTTTTTTTATGATTTGTGTATTTTTTAATGTATTAAAATTATCTGTAAGTTTATACGTAATTTTTCCAACTCCTAAAGACAAATAAAGATCGGATTTATAAAGATACTGATAATAAGAGGCAATAATAATGAAAACTAAAAAAAAAACGAGGTAGTCAACTTAACGTCAGAACTGACTTCTGATGGAATCATCAGAACAGAACCTCATTGTAAGTCAGGGACTATCTGTAGATCACCAGGCCCTTCTTCCAAGGTGCCTCTGGGTGGACTCAACCCTCCAACCTTTTGGTTACCAGCTCAGAGATTAACCATTTGAGTCACCCAGTGACTATTAAAAGAAAAAAAAGTCCCTGGTGGTTAGAATGGGCCTCTGGGGGGTACTTTTTTCCAAGGCCTGAGATTACCTTTTTGAAAGCAAGGTCTGTATTGTCTATGCTGGAGCAGATGACCCATCCTTTGAACTTCTCCTTGGCTTCTTTCTGGAGGCCCTGGACCAGATGCTCCAGGTACGCATGGAAGGTCGCACCGCTGTCCTCCAGATGCTTCCGCAGGTCTTCCAGGGTCCAAGAATGGATTTCAGCCTCCATGTATGAGCTTTGCGACTGTGCTACCATCTCATGAGGGACCTGAACTGACAGACGCACAGAAGGTCACACACCGAGCGGAGGAAATGCTGAGACCAGGAGTTAGAGAAAGCAAAGTCATTGACCAGGGGTCGAAGCATGAAGACCACTGAATACACCACGGACTGACACAAGAACGAACACATCTGTCCTGGAAGAAGTACAACCAGAATGGTCCTTAGAAGCAAGGATGGCAAGACTATGTCTCACATACCTGGAGAAGGACGTCATGCTTGGCGAAGTAGAGGGTCAGCGCAAAAGAGGAAGACCCTCAACGAGAGGACTGACACAGTGGCTGCAACACAGCAATGATTGTGAGGATGATGCAAGACGGGGCCTTGTTTCTTTCTGTTGTGCACAAGTCACTATGAGCCGGAACTGACTTGACAGCACCTAACAGCAAGGTATGAGCAACAGGCTTAGTGCCACAGGTGAGGAGACGCTTCTCAAGATCCGTGCCCAGGCTGGGAGCCCCTTCCCAAAGCCAGGAAGTACAAGTGTGTTCCTGAGACTGTATTTTCAGTGAGCCCTGTGAGAGCCGAAACCCCACTGAATCGCCTTGTTTACTTGGGTCTCGCGAGCGTTCCACCTTTGATAGGATGCAATCTTACCACTTTTCTATCACTCTCTGTTAGTGGAAAATCCTTACGTTTTCCTTTTCTGACACGGTTCTGCCTCAGGCAGGTTTTACTGTATTATTCGACACACGGCAGTGACCTCCCATTCATCCTCTCCACCTGCTGATTTTACTTTGAATGAAGTTTTATTCAGTTTGGCAACGTGTGGGCTCCGAAAGTTTTACTAACTGTGAATACAGTTCAAGCAAACAGACTTCTTATCGAAACACCAAATATGACTCCGAAATGTTGTTGTTGTTGTGAGGTGCTGTCGGGTCGGCTCCGACTTATAGCGACCCTGCGTACAACAGAACAAAACACTGCCCAGTCCTGCGCCATCCTCACAACTGTTGTTTTGCTTGAGCCGATTGTTGCAGCCACTGTGTCCATCCATTTCATTGCGGGTCTTCCTCTTGTTTGCTGACCCTCTACTTTAACAAGCATGATGTCCTTCTCCAGGGACTGGTCCCTCCTGATAACATGTCCAAAGTATGTGAGGTGAAGTCTCCCCACCCTCATTCCAAGGAGCCTTACCTTTTTAGCACACTTTGCCCCTGTACAAATGCCAATTCTACCACCAAAAGTAAGCCAGAATCCCAGTCTACTCGCTTGCTTAACATCTCGGTGGCTATATTCATAAGCTGCCGTTGATGCTCAGTCATGAGGACTGCGCAGCATCACGCACACACGGACTCGACACCTAATCAACTCCCAGGTACAGTCAAATATAACAGTTGGTGGGCTGGCCTTGAACCTAGCCACTGGAGGTCATGTGACTGTTTGCGTGAAAGCCATCGTCATGGTGACCCTCAGCGTCTTGACCTGACTCTACGTGTGGTGGAGGCAAAGAGCAGAGCTACAGAAAGTCTTACTGTCATGGTGACCCTCAGTGTCTTGACCTGACTGCACATGTGCTGGAGGCAAAGAGCAGAGCTACAGGAAGTCTTATCATCATGGCGACCCTCAGTGTCTTGACCTGACTCTACATGTGTTGGGAGGCAAAGAGTAGACCTACTGAAAGTCTTATCATCATGAAACCAGGAGCAAACAGACATAAGCCAGGTGGGTGGCAACCACGCCAAGTCTTGTCTAGTTCTAAGAGCTTAAGAAAGGCAGTGAGAGAGCCTTTCGCTCACCTCAAACAGCCGGTCGCACTCCACGATCATGTGGGCCAGCCCCTGCGCAGCGGCCAGGTTCTCGTTGAGGTCCTTTTGGTCTGGCTTCCCTGTGGCGTATTTCTTCTGTATGACTCTGTAATTGAACGTGAGTGTCCAAGCAGGCAGGAAACCACATCGCTTTTCCCTCGTGTTTCCCGCACACCCAGCTGCCGCCCAGGGCCCGGACTTTCTCATCTCCACGCGAAAACAATGACCACACATTCTAGACGCTCTGGGTCAGGCTAGGGGTCTGACGGCTCAGAACTAAACACCTCGGAAAACTACAAGGGCAGGAAGAACCCTGCTGGTTTTCACCTCTTTGTCAAAGTTTGAAACCACTTAACTGAAAGCGCTTTGGTCTTAAATAAACCAACAAAACAAAACAAATCCAAAAAATGAAACCCTTTGCCGTCGAGTCGCTTCCGGCTCATAGTGACCCTATAGAACACAGTAGAATTGCCCCCCATAGGGTTTCCTAGGCTGTAATCTTTAAGGAAGTGGACTGCCACATCTCTCTCCTGCAGAGCAGCTGGTGGGTTCAAACTGCCGACTTTTCAGTTAGCAGCCAAGCACTTTAACCAGCGCACCACCTGGGCTCCTTGGTTTTAAATAAAACGAGTCAATTCCGACTCACAGCGACCCTACAGGACACAGTAGAACTGTCCCATAGGGTTTCCAAGGAGCAGCTGGGGGATTCGAACTGCCGACCTCTTGGTTAGCAGGCGAGCTCTTAACCACTGCGCCAGCAGGGCTCCATGACCTTAAATAGACCCCTCTTATTATTAGAGATGATAAAATGCTACTTTGTCTGCTTTTTTTTTCCCTTGCCCAATCACACAAGTCTCAGGCTTCCTGGATCACCTAAGCATTCTTAATATGATGATAATGTGATAAATGTATGAACGTGAGCCACGGGAAACAGGTCGCCTTGAGACATTTTCGGATTATAAAATAAGTGCGGACAAATCCTCATGCAGAAACACAGAATGGAATTTTGTTTCAAATGGACTTAGTCCCTGGGTGTTGCAAATGGCTAAGCATTCAGCTACCAACTGAAAGGCTGCTGGTTCGAATGGACCCAGAGGTGCCCCAGAAGAAAGGCCTGATGATCTTCGTCTGAAAGGTCACACCACGAACACCCTCTGGAGCACAGTTCTACTCGGACACACGTGGGGTTGTCATGAGTCGGAGCTGACTCGACGGCAACTGGGTACTTTTGTGGGAATGCCTGGTATGAGATTACTGCGTTCCTGAGGGGAACCCACCTTGGAGAACTTTCTTTCTTCAGTAAGTTAAGATGAAAAAGGGAGGGGGCCAGACACACGGCCAGGTTCATGGGTGTCATCTGATTCTCTTCCACCAAGTTGACGACATCACTGAGGAAGCACAGCAGCGTCTGTAGGACCTCCCTGTTCTCGTCGGCCAGCAGCAAGATGGCGGCCTGCACTGCCTGGAGCTGCTGCTCCTTGGGGACGTCTGAGGAAAAGCGGGAGCCAGGGCATTAGGGGAAGCGCCACAGAGGGAGCCAGGCTACCTGATGGCCTGGACACACTCAGTGACGGGCCAGACAGTAACAGCCAATGCCCGCTCAGGGTGTGCACACTCATTCCAAGCATGGGCCACGTGCCAGACACGAATCTCAATTAAACCTCTCTGGGCTCCATGCAGCCAGCAGGCACCCTCAGTGTCCCTATAACAGCAGGAGACAGAGGCACAAAGAAGCAGTCATTGTCTGGGCCCACGGCTAGCGAGAGGCAGACCCCCCAACCCAGCGTCTCAACCACTAGGCAGCACTATTGAGAAACGAACAACGCCGCCCCCCACTTTTCATGCTCTGAGCAGTCAGCGCTGCTCACTGGGCTGAGCACGATGGTTTTCTAGTCGTTGTTCTGTTCTGGCTGAAGGTGGCGGCAGACCTGGAGCTCTGTCCACCTGGCGTCCTCTTGCCCACCTCCCCACCCCCAGCAGGCGGCCTTTGCAGAAGCCCAGGCCACCACGGGACACGATGGAAAAACCAGTGTCAGAGGGCAACAGCCTCGCCTTTCCCCACCCGTGAAAATGCCCTCTGTCCATTACTTTCTAACATGCTTTTGAAGGTCAGCTAGGAATCCCTACTCTCCCTGAGCTTTCTGTTAGCTAGGCAGTCCTGTGGTCCTGCCCCCTTTCTTGGCGCTATGCACGCTATTCTAGATCTGCATTTCTAAGTGGTGATCATTTACAGCCACGTGGATGGTCTGTCAAACTCAGTATTCAGGCTGTTCTGGACACATCCCTCCTCCCAGTCAGCTCCCTCACCCTCTTTACTTTCCGAATTCTCCCAACGATCAAGTCTTGAAGCTGCTTTGAAAAGATTAGTCCAAAGGACTAATGGACCACAACTACCACAGCCTCCACCAGACTGAGTCCAGCACAACTAGATGGTGCTGGTTACCACCACTGACTGCTCTGGCAGGGATCACAGTAGAGGGTTTCGGACAGGGCAGGAGAAAAATGTAGAACAGAATTCAAACTCACGGGGGAAAAAAAAAAGACCAGACTTGCTGGTCTGACAGAGACTGGAAAAACCTGAAGAGTATGGTCTCCGGACACCCTGCTAACCCAGTACTGAAGTCCACTCCTGAGGTTTACCCTTCAGCCAAAGACTAGACAGGTTTATAGGGCAAACAATAACACAGGTGAAGAATGTGCTTCGTTGTTCAACCATGTATACGAGACTAAATGGGCACACAGGTCCAAAAGCAAAGACGAGAAGGCAGGAAGGGACAGGAAAACTGGAGGAATGGAAACAGGGAGCACGACATGGAGAAGGTGAGTGTTGACACATCGTAGGGTTGGCAACCAATGTCACAAAACAATCTATGTATTAACTGTTTAATGAGAAACTAATTCGCTCTGTAAACTTTCACCTAAAGCACACACACACACAAAACCAGAAAAAAAAGAAACCTCTTTGATCCCTCACCCTCTTCCCACCATCATCCCCTCTCCTTAGATGAGTGGGTTTCAAATATTTTCATGAACTACCTGTCTTGGTCACCTAGAGCTTCTGTCACACAAATACCCCGAGTGGATGGCTTTAAAGAACCAACTTCTCACAGTTCTGGAGCTAGAAGTCCCAATTCAGGGTCTATAAAACCAAAAACCAAATCTGTTTTGGTTGATTCCGACTCATAGCAACCCTACAGGACAGAGTAGAACTGCCCCATGGGGTTTCTGAGGAGCGCCTGGTGGTTTTGAACTGCAGACCTTTTGGTTAGCAGCCGTAGCTCTTAACCACTACACCAGCAGGGTTTCCATTCAGGGTCTAGACCGTGTCAACTCCTTCTGTGAACCTCTCTCTTAGTTTCTGGTGTGGTGTCCCTTGGTAGTTCTTGGCGTTCTTTGACATCTGTCATTCTGTGTGTGTGTGTATTCTGGACTTTTTATAACTCAGACATGATTAGGTTTAGGATCCACTCTACGCTGGTATGACCTCAGTTTATTGATTGATTACATTATGGAAAGTTATTACATTACATTACATTGCTAACATTATATTGTATGTAATTACATTATACTACATTAGAATACATTATGGAAGGTAATCTGCTCTACCCAAGGCCAACTGACTTAATCACATGTAACTACTCCATAACAGCAACTAGACTAGTGTTTGGCCAAACCACTGGGAACCATAGCCAAACCAAGCTGACACATAAAATTAACCATCACACTCTATTGTAATTAATCTTTGGATGATTATAAGTTAAACAAATGACAGAGCTGAAAGCAGAACTGCTGTGGAGAGCTGGGGGAGGAACTGTTCTTCTCTCCTCGGGAAGCAGTTTGGAAAATCTGCCTCTACAGTCTACCCATGGAATGTCTGATTTCCAGTTTCATTGCTGGAGGTACACTGCAGGTCATCCACAGCTTTAACTAGTGCGACAGCCACTTAACCCTCCAGTCTTGACCAGCCCAAGACCTCCTGCACACCACTTCCAGAATCACGGGTGAAAAAAGCAGTTCTTGAGACCAGAAGAACTGAATGGTGCCCCACTACCATGACTGAACATTTTGATCAAAGATTCTATAGAACAAACCAGATCAAAAGGGGAAAAATGCAGAACAGAATTCAAAATTCTCATGGAATCTAGATTTTCTGGAGCCATGGAGGCTGGATGAACCCCTGAAACTGTTGCCCTGAAATATTCTTTAAATCTTAAATCAAAAATATTCCCTAAAGTTTTCTTTAAACCAAACAGTGAGTTAGCTTATTTAGTAAAGAATGTCTGCCTTGAGCATTTTGCTCTTTTAAAAAAGTATCTCTATGGGATCAAACGGACAAAGAAACTCGAAAGGTTAGAGAAGAAACTTAAGAGGGCAGTGAGTTCATGTTCACGGGGAAAGAAAAATTCAGAAAAGGAGGGTGAGAACTTTTGCACAATTTGAAGAATATAATCAATGTCACTGTATTGTACACGTAGAAATTGTTGAATTGGTGCACGTTTTGCTGTGTAAACTTTCAACAACAATTAAAAAGAAAAAGCATTTCTGGTGGGCATTGACTCCATGGTAGACATAAGGTTGGCTGCTGATCTAATACCCTTTCTCCCCTTCTTCCTTGCTAAGAAAATACACATTTTGTTCAGGTAAGGGCTGCAATGGGTCTGAGAAGATGTACGTCTCCTCCAGTCCCAGGAGATGACCATGTTGGCCTAAACGCAAAATGGTCATCCCACTCCCCTTTCTCGTCGTTGGCTGAGGACAACATTACATCATGGACCATTTCTAGCCAACAGGACCAAGAAAAATGCTAGGAGCTTCTGCAAGACTTTTCTCCCTGTTAAAAAGAGACGGATGCCAAGAGAAGCCCTTCGGCTCTCTTGCCTTTGAACGTGATTCTGTGAAGGTGTGTTAATTACATACTGTGGCGATCATCTTGTGACCGTAGGGGGAAGCCAAGAGAATTTTAAAGAGGCTGACTTCAGCCTTGGCATCGTTCACTAATTCTGGAATTATTCAAAATTCCAGATTTCCTGTCTTGTGAGACAACAGAATGTCCTTACTACTTAAACCCCTCTTTGCTGGACTTTCGATTGAGCCCTTATAGTGCGAAGTATCCTACCTGGTACGTCCCTCCACAGCACCTGAGGGTTCTCCAGTGCTTAACGAACCAAGGGTGAACTCCTTCCCCGTATGCTCAGTGCCATTCCTCGGCACGGTCCTCATATAATTATTCCGTGTCATCTTGTGTTGCATTGTGCGTTTACGTACACGCAAGTCAAGTGGACACCCTGAGATTTCCTGACACAGGTCCACGTGATGTGCTGCGCCCAGAATGTACACCCCACACGCCTGAACCTTCACATATCATATCTTCTTCCACCAGGTCATTCCCCGACTCGCCCTCCTTGGACTCTTGTTTTGGTAACCTTCTCATGGAACTTCTCCAACCTTGCAAAGCAGAGATTTAGGTGCAGGTCTTATTTCCCTTGACCGTAAGACTCGCAGAATCAGTCTCGTCATCCATGCCCTCTGTAGTGTTCCGCACCATGCCCTGTACACACGCAGCTCAGTGAATCCCTGGATGGCGCACATGGTTAACATGCTTGGCTGCTAACGGAAAGGTCGGAGGTTCCAGTCCACCTAGAGGTGCCTCAGAAGAAAGGCCTGGCAATCTACTTCTGAAAACTCAGCCTTTGAAATGCCTATGGACCACAGTTCTACTCTGACACACATGCAGTTGCCATGAGTCGGACCCGGTTTGATGAGTCGGAGTCCGTTTGATAGTTTGACCTGGTTTCTTGCTCTTGAGTCTCAGAAAGGGTCACAGGTATTTTTCTTGTGGAAATAGCCTGGCTTCAGCCTTAGACTAGTGCCAACCTCAGCCTGAGAACTGATTAAAGAATCAAGTCTGATACTTCCAAACGCCAAGGGAGGCGTAACTAAAAAATGCGCGTCGACTGCTCATGGCGACAATGTCACAGCTCCCTCGCTTAGGCTCCAGGATTGCATACGATCGATTAACCTGTTCACTGTGCCAAGGAGTCCTGGTGGTGCAGGTTAAGCGCTCGGCTGCTAACTGAAAGGTCGGCAGTTTGAACCCACCAGCTGCTCTGGGCAAGACAGATGTGGCAGTCTGCTTCTGTAAAGATTATAGCCTTGGAAATCCTGTGGGACAGTTCTACTCTGTCATATGGGGTCGCTATGAGTGGGAACTGACTTGACGGTATCGGGTTTGGTTTTATTCTTCACTTTGCCACGGTAATATTTATCCAGCGGGTCACCTCTTTATCCTGTGTCTGCAAGTGGTACTGATGACAATACTTTCAGAATTTGCAATACTGTGGGCTCCTTAAACACACTGAGCACAGGGTTCTCTGCAGCTCTGAGCTTCTCCAAACTGGCTCAATTCCACATCAAGACCCATTTCAGGCATATTTTGCTGAAAAATGTAGAGTCCATGGAACAACTGTTTTTTTTCCTAAAGAACTGGGATTTGTGCCAACAAAATCATTGTAATTATAACACAAAATCTAGAAAAGAATCATGTGTTCATTTCTAATATTCCTCTTTGCAACTACCATTAGCAGGATCCGCTTTGTAATCAATAATTGCTATTTTAATGATTATTTTAATTATAGGGGTTTTGCTGGGAAATATCAGTGTAATATCACTTAAAAAATGCCAGATGAAAATATAAATTACTCGAATTAAGTTTAAGCCTTGATTCAATTTGCTTACTTTTGACCAGTTAAAATACATTGTTTCACTTGTTTTTTTTAATTTCAAATCATTTTAATACATTTGGTTTTGAATTGCCTATATCCCAAGGAACTGCTTATTTTTTTAATTAAATAAGTTTCTATAAATACCCACATACAAAATAAATTCTATGTGTCTTCTTTACATTTTAAGCTTGCTGAAAGTTAATTTTAGATCTCATACAAAACCTTACTGAGAAAGAAGATCTTGATGTTAAAAAAACAAGACATTTTCAAATGCAGAAAAAAATGGCCTGGAAATTTCCATGCAAATCAGTAAACAAAGGTTGCATTTGGAGTGGAGAGGAGGATTATAACTTTTATATACTTCTTCATGGATTTATGAATTACTTGTATAATTAGCACTCTAGATAGATAGATGGACAGATAGTAGATGGGTGGATGGATGGCTAGGTAGACAGGCAGACAGAGAGACAGAGAGACAGACAGACAGAGTGAGCAAGTGAGCGCGCCCTGGTAGTGCAGTGGTTAACTGCTTGGCTGCTAACTGAAAGGCTGGGCAGTTCGAGCCCACCAGCTGCTCCGTGGGAGAAAGCTGTGGCAGTCTGCTTCCGTGAAGATTACAGCCTTGGAAACCCTCCGGGGCAGTATTTTTTAAAGTGGATGTACACACATGAGAACACTTGTTAGGTGCCGCTGAGTTGATTCGGACGCATAGCGACCCCGTGTGACAGAGTAGGACTGTCCCACAGGGTTTCCTACGCTGTAATCTTTATGGGAGCAGATCGCCAGGTCTTTCTGCCTTGGAGCTGCTGGGTGGGTTCAAACCACCGACCTTTAGGTTAGCAGCTGAGCGCTTAACCGTTGTGCCACGGGGGCTCCTCCTGCGAGTGCTGATCTGCGTGATGTCAACTCACACTGGTAGATGTGGAGGAAGGTGTCGCTGAGCTTGCTGGTGAAAAGAGGCTCCGGGAGGTCCCGGAAGAACTGTTTGACCATGTCTGCCACGTCGTAAGCTGACTGGTCTTCATAGCTGACGTTGTCAGGGCAGTTCTCGTTCATCTGGCGTAAGGCTTGGATCCGCGACTTCACTCCCGACTTTCGGAAAAGGCCCACCTGAAACAAGCCACAGGACCGTGTCAGCCAGGCCACCTTTCCCCAGATGTCTTCGCTTGGAACATTCATTCCCTCTCCTGTAAATGAAGATAAAAATAGTGCCCCATGGCCCAGGGCTGTCGTGGAGATTAAACGAGAAAATATACGAGAATGTGGTTTGTAATATGTTAGGTCTTATAATACTGTAGACATTATTGTTTTATTCATTGATCCAATAAATATTGATGAATCTGCCCGCCACCTATCAGGCACACTTACAGCTGCTCTAAGCAGCCCTGGTGGTGCAAACAGTTAAGTGCTCGGCTGCTAACTGAAAGATTGGTGGTTTGAACCCACCTAGCAGCTCTGCAGGAGAAAGACCTGGCGATCTGCTCCCATAAAGATTACAGCCTAGGAAACCCAATGCAGCAGTTGTACTCTGTCCTACGGGGTCATTATGAGTCGGAATGAACTCCAAGACAAGGGGTTTGAGTTGGTTATACCTGTGGATATAATCTCATTTGGGAATAGGGTTTTCTTTGTTATGTTAATCAGTGTGGGGTGTGTATTAAACCTATAGCTTTTGAGATACAAAAGGAGCAGAAGCAAGCAAGGAGCAACCGGGGAAAGCTGCATGCTGCATGGAGATCTCCAAGAAGCAGCTGAGACAAGGATTTTCCCCCAGAGCGGACACAGAAAGAAAGCCTTCCTCTGGAGCCTGCACCCTGAATTAGGACTTCTAGCCTCCTAGGCTGTCTGTTCCTTAAAGCCCCCCCACGTATGGTATTTCTGTTACAGCAGCACCAGGAAACCAAGACACCAACAAGGGATGAACCTTCCTGGAAGCCCCGGCTTGTTGTGAAATAAGAATTCCGCTATTTTTAAATGCCTGTGGGTTTTGACCCTCAATGTCCTCTCATCCCCCAAGGCCTGGCAGGGTGGGCCCACCTGCACAAAGCAAGGTGTGGACATTCCTGAGCGGCCAGACAGGCAGGCAGTGACCACTACGGATGCCCTCTCTATGCCAGCAGAGCCAGGAAGCCTAGGGGGTTTTCACGGCCACTCTCAGCCCAGGCCCTTCTGACTTCTGTTACAGATGAGAAGCAGCACTAATTCTTCCAAACTGCAGCGACAGCGAGGGGAGAATGCCAAGCAGTTAGAGGATCCTACGGTTTTTGGACATGTCAGCGGAGTGGATCGCAGGGGAAAGTACACACTGCTTACCCTTCTGTTTTTTGTGGCAATAAAAACAGAATTCTTAGTAATGCCTCTTTGCATTCCAAGGCTTATCACTCTAATTCCACAGATCAGGATAATCAGGCCTATTGTCCCTTAAAATGCTAATTTCTTTTTTATTCTTCAAGTTCGGAATGTTTTAGAGAATGCAAAAGTTGGCCATATTTAGGTAATCTTCCGTGAAGAAGCTAAAGAACACTTAACCTCCTCTGGCAATGACTCCATGGGCTGAGGGGACACTGAGCTTCTGTTAAGGGAGACGGAAAACAGCGTGATGAACGCGGTTAACCTCACTTGACTGCACAGACAAGCAACACTGAAATGGCGAACGTTTTGTCAGAGATGCATTTTCCACAATTAAAACAGCTGCATGGGAAGAAAGCACATACTGTCAAAAGAAAAATTCAGGATGTCAAATAGACATTTGTTTTTACTGGAGTGAGAGCTACATCTCCATTTGTTTACATCCACTATCTGGTGGCAAAGTGGTTAAAAGCACTCGGCTACTAACCAAAAGGTCGGCGGTTCAAACCCACCAGCAGCTCCTCAGAGAAAGATGTGGCAATCGGCTTCCGTAAAGACTCTAAAACCCAAACTGCTGTCATTGAGTAGGTTCTGATTCATAGCAAGCCTAGAGGACAGAAGAGAGCCGCCCCATGGGGTTTCCTAGGCTGCAATCTTTACGGAAGCAGACTGCCATGTCTTTCTCCCGCTGGGTAGCCAGTGGGTTAGAACCACTGACCTTTCAGTTGGCAGCCGAGCGCTTAATCACCGTGCCATCAGCGTTCCTTGCACAAAGATTACAGCTTTGGAAACCTTATGGGGCAGGTCTACTCTGTCATATAGGGTCACTATGGTTCGGAATCAACTGAACGGCACCCAACAACAAGAACCTCTAATTCTGGAGGCTGGCCTGGCACCGTGCCCCAGGCCTCTGCAGCACTGTAGTTCTCAGACCTAAACACCTAGAAGGTGAATTCTTAAGTATGACTCACAAGTACTTATCCCCATATGACTTGGTATGAGGAGTCCTCATGGCCCAGTGGTTAAGCACTTGTCTGCTAGTCGAAAGGTCAGCGGTTCAAAACCCTACCAACTGCTCCGCAGGAGAAAGATGTGGCAGTCTGCTCCCATAAAGATTACAACCTTGGAAATCCTGTGGGGCAGCTGTACTCTGTCCTATAGGGTTGCTATGAGTCAGAATTGATTCGATGGCAACGGGGTGGTTTTTGGACTGGTATGATTCTGTTTGAGACGGACTCCTATTTTTTTTTTTTTTTTTTTAGCAATGGAGAACTATTGATCGGGATCTGTAAAAGGAATCAAACAGGCAAGTTTCTGTGGTTCATCCGCAGATCGCATTTCCTCTTTGTCCGCGTGCCTGGCAGCTTTGTCTCTGGGTGTACACGTGTGCCTGCACACACATTCCTGGGCTGTTTTCCTCGTATTGTTCTCTTTCCAAGTCTCCCTCCGGTTTCAGCAAATAGTGTTATTTTAATGATATGAAACATGTCTGTGGTGCTTCAGCGGCCAGCTCGGAGCTGCTGGTTTGGACTCAGATCTCACAGGGTGTCCAGAGGATCATCAGGTATTCATTTGCTGTGCCTCAAATCCTGCCAGTAACCTTCCCACCCCACCCCTGTCTTCCAAGGGAGGTGAGGAATTCTGTGGGTTGTGTGGATTTCTTGCTGGGAGTGCAGAAACAAATCTCTTTCCTAAACCTAATAAAGGAACCAGAAAGCAGCTGCTGTGGGGTCGACTCTGACTCACAGCGTCCCCATGTATGTCAGAGTAGAACTGTGCTCCATAGGGTTTTCAACGGCTGATTTTTTGGAAGTAGATTGCCAGGGCTTTCTTCCGAGGCACCTCTGGGTGGACTTGAATCTCCACCCTTTCAGTTGGCAGCCAAGTGCTTACCATTTGCACTACCCAGAGACTCCATTATAAAAAAACCTAAACCCATCATGGAGTTGATTCCCACTCACGGTGACCCCAGATGTGTCAGAGTAAAACTGCTCTATAGGGTTTTCAGTGGCTGGTATTATTAGAAGTAGATGGCCAGGCCTTTCTTCTGAGGAACCTCTGGTGGACCAGAACCTCCAATCTTTTGGTTAGCACCTGAGCATGTTAACCATAGGGTTCATCCAGGCACTCCTGATAAAGACAAGGTGGTCTCACATCAGAGTGGACTCCCAATGTAGTAGCCGAGGATGGCTGAGTGGAAAGATGGAAGATATGGCCGCAGAGATGAACCAGCAGAGACTGGAACCACCTGCTTGCTGATTTCTTGCCGTTCCTACTGCTTCAGCTCCAGGTGACCCCATGTGTCATGAGCTGGTTGTTGCTGGGTGCCATCAGGTTGGTTCTGATGGATAGCGACCCCATGTCCAACGGGACAAAATGCTGCCCGCTCCTGCACCATCCTCACAGTCGTTGCTATGTCTGAGCCCATTGTTGCAGCCACTGTGTCAGTCCATCTCCCTGAGGGTCTTCCTCTCTTTCACTGACCCTCCACTTTACCAAGCATGATGTCCTTCTCCAGGGACTGGGCCCTCCTGATAACATGTCCCAAGTATGTGAGTCGAAGTCTCACCATTCTTGCTTCTAAGGAGCATTCTGGCTGTACTTCTTCCAAGACAGATTTGTCCGTTCTTCTGCCAGTCCGTGGTATATTCAATGTTCTTCACCAAACACCATCATTCAAAGGCCTCGGTTCTTCTTCGGTCTTCCTTTTTCATCGTCCAGCTTTCACATGCATATGAGGCAACCGAAAACACCATGGCTTGGGCCAGACTCACCTTAGTCCTCAAGGTGACATCTTTGCTTTTTTAAAGAGGTCTTTTGCAGTAGATTTGCCCAAAGCAATACATCCTTTGATTTCTTGACCGCTGCTTGAGCTTCGACAATAGGAAATGGGGTCGCCGTGAGTTGAGACAGATTAGATGGCAACTGGTTTGGTTTTTTGGTTGACTGTTTCAAGCCCTTTTGGGTGGGGCTTCTGTTACTTGGAGCAGACAGCATCCAGAATACAGTAGGTATAGGATCTTCTTACCGTGCAGAGCCCCTGAGTAAAGGTCCTTTTATGTCTAACAGGTTTCAGCGGAGCTTCCAGACTAACATGGACTAGGAAGAAAGGCCTGGCAATCTCCTTCCCAAAATCAGCCAATGATCACAAAGGTCCAGTCCTGTTGTGCATGGGGTAGCCCAGAGTTGGGGCAACTGGATGGCAGCTAACAACGACGACAAACCCACTGTGTGGTGTCACGTGTAATCACCAATAACTCCTTCTTCAAAAAGTTTTGAAAACAGAGATAAAAATTTGCATTTTTGACTAGAGATTTTTTTCCAGGTTGAAAAAATAAAAAGAACAGAAGAAACAGTTTTAAAAACCTACTGCTTCTGAGGGCATCCTCCTCCTGCAGCAGACGGGAGGTGGTTCCAAGGCCCGTGGAGGGGCCTTCCTGCGTCTCTGTTCTCTCCCTCACCCGTCGGTGGGCAGCCTGGGTGGGCACTTCTTTACCACTCTCTCATCACTTTGAAATTCTTACTAATTTATGAACAAGGGGGTCCACACATTCAGATGGCACTGTTGTTGTTGTGAGATGCTGGGGAGTCAACTTTCAACTCATAGTGACCCCATGGGACAGAGTAGAACCGCCTCATAGGGTCTCCTAGCCTGTAATCTTTATGGGAGCAGATCGCCAGGTCTTTCTCCTGTGGAGCAGCTGGGTGGGTTTGAACCACCAATCTTTCAGTCAGCAGCCGAGCGTGTAACCTACTCTAACCTCCTTTTAAAGCACAGCTCCCATACCCTCTCTAAAATGGGGAGAATGGTGGTCAGCAATGCGAGACGCAGTATATACAGTGGGGCTGATCGAGCCAAACCTAGGCTGCATTTTCCGGTTCGTATGGGGCATTTTATAAGCATTTCTCTTGTGTGCTCTCTTTTTAAAAACCCTTTCTACGTGTATATTTCAGTGACATCGATTACGTTCTTCATGTCCAACTATTATTGCTATCCTTTCCAAATCATTCCACCATTATTAACATAAACTCAGTGCCCCCCGAGCAAAAACTCCCCCTTACCCCTCCCTCCCACCACTGGTAACCACTAAAAATCTTTGGTTTCCGTATATTAGCTTATTTCACACGAGCGAGATCCAACAGTATTTGTCCTTTCACTACTGACTTGTTTCGCTCGGCATGATGTCGTCAAGGTTCCTCCCTCTGGTGGCTGCTCCAGGACTTCATTTCTTTTGACAGCGGAGTGACACTCCATTGTGTGTATGGACCACGTTGTGTTCATCCAGTCGTCTGGTGACGGACACTGGGGTTGTTTCCACCTTCTGGCGACTGTGAACAGCGTTGCAGTGAACACTGGTGTCCAAGTGTCTGCTCACATGGCTGCCTTTAGGTCTTCTGGGCATAGGCCTAGGAGTGGAATTACTGGGTAATATGGTAGTTCTGCAAATTCTTTGATACTCCTCCCTTCAAGAGGTGGGGCTTAATCCCCCTCCCCTGCGTGTGGGCTGTATCTAGCGTCTCCAGCGGCCTGTGACATCCATCCATGCTGTAGCATGCACTGGGACTTCATTTCTCTTCATGGCTGAATAGTATGTCATTGTATGGACACACCACGTGTTGTCCATCCAGTCATCTGCTGGTGGACACTGGGGTTGTTGCCACCTTTCAGCAATTGTCAGCAGCGGTGCAGTGACCCACGAGGTCCTGGGTTCTCTGGCTCTTTCTGAAGATTACCAGATGGTGACGAGCGCTCCTCTGGTCTCGTCTTTCTTCCCTCTTTCCTTTGTCCTCCACCTAACAACCAACCCACGGAAACGGGAAAACTCAAGGTATAATTTCAGCAGGGAGACCCCGGAGCAGCCCTCATGTTACCCAAGCTGGACGACAGGGGCAGTGATGACCAGGCATGGGGTGAAGGCCACTGCGCTGAGTGTCTTCCCAGCACAATCAGGCTTCTAAAACTCACGGCTCACAGAAGGAGACCGTGAGCAGCGTGTGGCGTCAGAACTCAAATCGCATCTAAATGATACGAAATCTCCCACGTGGCATCCTGCTGCTGCTAATCCCCTTCGGTACTTAATGACGTTTATCAGGACCGCCACTTCCTCTTCCTCGGACGGACGTGTGCTTCAGCTGACAAAGCAAGGCTGCTTTACGCAGAGAGAGAAAGGTTCACGCGCACGGAAGTCTGCGGTTCTCACCTGGGGCTCTGCAGGTGGGGCCTCGAACCACACGGTCTTCGTATCCGTCAGGTGCCCGTCTCACCCTCCTTCTGGGCACAGTTGATTCAGGGCAGAAATAAAAGCTCGTCAGCCAGGAAGCCAGGCTCCTCTCACACTCTGCCGGTTCGTAATCCAAGGAGCCGCCTTCTCCTCTCATCTGTCGCCGCTTGCAAGGGCGGAGGGGGAGGCACTGAGCTCCGCGCTCCTGAGTGTGGGGGTGACAGGGCAGCATGTGCCAGAGCCCGTGGGGCTGTGTCCAACGGCCCGCGATGTGTGCTCACGCTGAAGATGAACATGCAGTAAATAATGTGTGGAATAAAGGACTGCATTTCTTAGCGTGGGAACTCAGCCATCTAGCTAATGGAAACTGTCGTTGGGTGTCACTGAGTCAATTCCAACTCACCGCGACCCCATGTGACAGAGTAGAACTGCCCCATAGGCTTTTCCAGGCTGTAATCCTCACAAGAGCAGATCGCCAGGTCTTTCTCCCTTGGAGCTGCTGCTGGGTTTGAACTGCTGATCTTTCTGTTAGCAGCCGAGCACTTGACCTTTGAGCCACCAGGGCTCCTTAACCCTGCCACTACGGATGTCTCCTAAAGTAGTAACTGGCTGTTGCAAAAGTCCCGCTGATATCCTACAAAGGCTGCCAGATTCCTACTGTTTGCCTTTTTTCTGTTGTAAGAATGTATGTAACACATCTGCCAGTTCAGCTTCTCAGGTGTGTAACTGAGTGATGTCAATCACACTCATCACGCTGTGCTACCATCACCCATGACCAATGACACAGTTCAAACCCTTACTCTTGACTCTGACACAAGAGAAAGGACGCCTTACTCAAGCTGTTACATTCAGGATCAGTACTGACGCCCTTGAAACGAGTCTGTCTTCCCACAGAGCTTTGCTAGCCCACGGCTTTCCGACTGCAGAACACCAGGGAGGAGCAGCGTGGCGTCCTGTCCGGCTTGATAAATGGTGACAGGCTTGGCAAGGGGACAGGCTAAGCCAGTGAGTAGGGACTGAAGAGGTGTCAGTGCCCACTGAGGGAGCCCTGGAGCCCTGGTGGGGCCGTGATTAAGAGCCAGCTGCTAACCAGAAGGTCGGCAGTTGGAATCCACCAGCCGCTCCCTGGAAACCCGACAGGGTGGTTCTGCTCTGTCCTACAGGGTCTCTGTGAGTCGGAATCGACTCGACGGCAACAGGTTTGGGTTTTTTTAAAGGAGCTCTATGGCAAAACTGCTAACTGCCCGGCTGCTAACGGAAAGGCTGGCTGTTCAAACTCGCAGGCAGCTCCACGGGATAAAGACCTAGCAGTCTGCTCCCATAAAGATTGATCAAAGCCAAAAAACACCTGCCATCGAGTCTATGCCTTCTCAGTGACCCTACAGGACAGAGAAGAACTACCCCATAGAGTTTTCTAGGCTGTAATTTTTATGGAAGCAGATTGCCACATCTTTCTCCCATGGAGCAGCTGGTGGGTTTGAACCTCTGACGTTTTGGTTACCAGCCGAGCGCTCAACCACTGTGTCACCAGGGCTCCTTCTGTAGGGATTACAGCCTTGGAAACCCTATAGGGAGGTTCTACTCTGTCACACGGGGTCGCTATGAGTTGGAATCGACTCGACAGCACACAACAAGATACAATTAAATTAAAGATAATCGATGAGAAAACTGACACCAAGGGGAACTGAGAGCGGAAAACGGCAGCTGAAACCGGGAAGAGGTCAGTGCAGGAAACTCACGCCAAAACATGACGCGTCTGTACTACTGGCAGAACAGACACTGGGCCCTAAGTGTCCTCTAGCCCATACAGAGAGGAAAACTGTCCAGCTGAACACTGGGCTCCCGAATAGAAAAACTGACAAAGTGCTCAAAAGAAACACAAGGTTTTCAGGTGCTGGGACCGGAGGGAAAACCGTCCCCCATTCTCAGAGAAGGGACCCTCCATGACATAATGACCCATGTGAGTTGTGTGGCATCCCTCAATGCTGGAAACGGCATCACCCCAAAGTTTCCTGGGGAGGAGCAAGTCTCACGGGGAGCAGAGGACAATGGTGGCACCTTGGGCTCCCTCACTGGCACCTGTGTGATCACGTTGTCTAGGGTGGTGGTGGTTGGGTGTCATCGAGTCGATTCCAACTCACGGTGGCCCCCCGTGACAGTGCAGAACCGCCCCACAGGGTTTTCGAGGCTGTAAATCTTTACGGAAGTAGATCACCAGGCCTTTCTGCTGTGGAGCTGCTCGGTTGGTTTGAATCCAACCTTTGGATTAGCAGCCAAGCACTTAACCATTTCTACCAGGGCTTTTGGTGACCCTTACCGCCAGCTTATCTTTCTAATCCAGTGTCTGTCTAGTCTGTCTTCTGACCATATATAGAATTATACGCAAGTTTCTAAAAGCTGTATTATTTTACTTTTCATATTTATAACTGCAGTCCACCTGAATGGTGTCTATACTCTCCAATACCTAGGCTGTAATCATTACAGGAGCAAATGGCCAGGTCTTTCTCCTTCGGAGCGTCTGGGTGGGTTTGAACCGCCGACCTTTCAGTTAGCAGCTGAGCACTGAATTGCTAAGGCGCCAGGGCTCCTTTCTCTGCCAGTGGGCAGGTCTAACTGTCGGGCGTCCCATGACTCCAAGCCCATGTGGGGATGTGCGGCCGTACCTGATCGAGGCAGTTGCTTCGCAGGTACTTCAGTGCTTGCTGTATGCTCTGGGGCAGGGGCTGCCCCGTTCTCTGGACGTGAACTATCAGAGGAACACCAAAGACAGTCTTGTCTTTGTAATCGGGAACTCTCATCCTCTTCATGAACTTTGGCACGGACCTAGAATTCACAGAAACCGGGTCACGCAGGCCTCCTGGGACACAGGGTGGGGAGAGGCTGGGAAAGCAAGCAAGAGGGAGGCCGAGCTTTGGCTGGAAAGCCCAGCAGACAGCAGAGGCACTCAGCCTTTCTCTCTGGACAATCGCGTTACCAGGAGGGGCTATGCGTGCCCCCTGTGTGCTGTTACCTCTGACTGAAACACCTCCAGTCACGTTGTTGTTGCTGGGGGCCGTCAAGTCGATTCCGACTCATAGCGACCCCATGTGACAGAGCAGAACCACCTCATAGGGTTTCCTAGGCTGTACTCTTTGTGGGAGCAGATCGCCAGGTCTTTCTCCTGGGGAGCCGCTGGGTGGGTTGGAAACCACTGACCTGGTCAGCAGCCAGTTGCATAACTGTTACGCCACCAGGACTCTTGATGATTCACGTTAGCAGGATGTATTCACAGCTTTGTTTTCAAGTTAGGTGGACAACTTTCCAATTTAATGGGACAAACAAAGGGAAAAATAAAAGTTGCTATTGAGTCGATTCCAACTCATAGCAACCCCATGTGTGTCAGAGTAGAACTGTGTTCCATAGGGTTTTTAATGGCTGACTGTTCAAAAGCAGATTGCCAGAACTTTGTTCTGTGGCACCGCTGGGTGGACTCGAACCTCCAACCTATTGGTTAGCAGCCAAGTGCATTAACCGTTTGCACCACCCAGGAATTCCAAACACTTAAAAGTCCTCAACAAAAAATTTAAAAAACTAGAAGAGGAAGAATAAGTCTTGTTGGGGGAGAGGGAAAAGGAGGGGAGGGAAGATGGACATGTTTCTTGACTCCGTCCTTATTGTTCTGGAACTAGCTACCTTTTTTAAAAGCGCATTTTAATAAGCAAGTATATATTGACTTGATCATACAATTTAGAACCTTCTAAAATATTTTATAAAAGTATTATCAATTCCTTTATAAAATAATATATATCAGAACAATCTCTGACACTTTTTGTATTTTTTTCAAATCCATCCAATCATCTAAAATGTGTCCAGAGTCACGTTTGGACATTTCCATCAATTCCTTATATTGATCCCTTATCACCGAGGTTCTCTGCAGGGCCCTGGCTTTATCTGCCAGTGAGATAAAAGCAGAACTCTCTGAAGAATTAAATGCTCTCTGAAGGACTCCACGCTCTAGGTGTCGAGCACTGCACCAAGCCACAGGGCACAAGTGACAGATACTCCTTCGCTGACTGCTATACTTGCTTTATAGCAAGTTTAGTTTGAATTCCTCTGCTCACCATTAATCTTCCCTTACTTGTCTTTTTTCCTTCTTAGAGCCTGACTGCCATCCTTGGCAGCCAACCAAGAGCTGCAAGTAAGCCAGGCTTCCTAGAGGCTCCGTCAGGCCAGGTTTTGGCGGCTAGAAAGCTGGGGATTGATGCAGATGGCCGGGCACAGCTCTGAGCATGGGTTTTTGGGGCACTGTCAAACCAACCCAGACCAAACCCACGGCCGTCCAGCCAGTTCCGACTCAAGGCGACCCCACATGTTACAGAGTCGAAGTGAGCTCTATAGGGTTTTCTGGGCTGTAGCCCTAGTGGCGCAATGGTTAAGTGCTTGGCTGCTAACCAAAAGGTTGGCGATTCGAACCCACTCCGTGGCTCCTAGGGAGAAAGACCTGGTGATCCGCTCCCATAAAGATCACAGCGTAGAAGACTCCACGGGGCAGCTCTACTCTGTCACAAGGGGGCGCTATGAATTAGAATTGACTTGATGGCACCTGACAACTACAACAATAGTCTTTAAGGAAGCAGATCACCAGGCCTTTCTTCCACGGTGCTGCTGGGTGGGTTCGTATCGGGAGCAAACCGTCTGCGCCTCCCAGGGACCTCAAGGGATTGCCAGCGAAGGCAAAGGGCAGGGTCTTCAGCATTCGGAACAGAAATGCAGAGGTTTTGGCAAGGCCACACCGAACCCCCGAAAGACTGATTCGCGCCACGTAAGTGTGCTACGTACCACGTCCAGCCGTGCTTGTTTGACATGGAGTACTTCTCCATGATGGCCGTCAGGCGGAGCAGCGAGAAGCGCTGGAGCAGGTTGAGCTGGCCGGCCGTCTGGTTGCTGATGAGAGGTGAAGCCATGGACTGCTGTGGCTGGTGCGAGAGCTGGAAACTGCTCCACCGGAGTCGCCTTTACCAGAAAGACCGCCAGAAAAGCCAGTCACAAAAGGCACACGTTACGGGAAAGCCTGTGATGTCGCTAACTCACTGGCATACTTTCAGAGACAAGGAAAACACAAAGCAAATGGACAGAAGACACAAATACCTAGAGAATAAACCAAAGAAACTGTGGTTTCCAAGCCTGGTCAGCCCGGAAAAGATTATTTTATGTGTTTCATGAGGAGGCTTAGGTAAGTGACATAATGAAGTTTGCTTGTTTGCTTCTTCCCAAAATCATTCCCGAAGTGTTGAAGTGTTGAAGCAGTTGAGACTGACAGACACAGAGAGAGAGAGAGAGAGAGAGCAAGAGAATGATAGACCAGAAGAGAAAGAGGAGAGAGAGAAGGGAGAGAGAGGAGAGAGAAGGGAGAGAGAGAAGGGAGAGAGA